CAATCAGGAATGCCTCTTCTCTGCCATGTTGTGGGCATGCGTCATTCTTGTCTTCAACCTCTCAGCCATGTGGCCCTTTTGCCTCTGACTTCCTGCGACAAGTATTACAAAACTCTTCTAGCCAGAGTGTAAATGCCCAAAGGACACATTCTTAAAGCCAGTCTCCTGCCTGTAGACACAGCTTCATTTGGTCCATCGGTCTAGAAGTCTGCAGATGCTCTGTCTTTCCGTATTGCCACCCCCACTGCTGTCACCGCTTTTCTAGGCAGGGATCTCACGCTATACTCATATACTCATATTCTTCTTTCTTAATGGTCTTGGGATCATCAGTTCCCGTAGCTGAGCTGACTCCTTTTAAATCTAGCAGGATGTCAAAAGTAATCAATCCCAGCATTAGAGCCCTGTATACTCTATGTGCAAAATTCTGTCTAATCAGTTGGTGGACATGAAGAAAATGTTGACTAGAAAAAACATATCAAGTAAATTCAAAGTACCACATTATCCAATTTTCAATTACCAGTATTTATCAGTGAATCTTGATAGCATGTTTGATCATTTTCAGACTGAAGAAATTTGTAAATTTTTTTCAATTTCTTCTTCTTTGCTATTAGTGATTGTTGTGTAAATCTCAATCATAGTTATATTAACTGGGTTTCTTGTTGTTGTTGTTATTAGGTGCCATCAAGTCAGTTCTGATTCATAGCTAAGCTATCACAGCAGAATGAGACACTACCCAGTCCTGCACCATCCTCACAATTGTTACACTTGAGCCCATTGCTGTTGCCACTGTCCCAACACATCTCATTGGGGTCTTCCTCTTTTTCATCAACCTTCCATTTTACTGAGCATGATGTCCCTCCAGGAAGTGGAACCTCCTGATAACATGTCTGAAGGATGAGAGACACAATTTTACCATCCTATCTTCTAACAAGCACTCGGTTGTACTTCTTGCAACTCAGCCCTATTTGTTCTTCTGGCAGTCCATGGGACCTTCGGTATTCTTCTCCAACACCACAACTCAAATGCATCAATGCTTCTATGGTCTTTTTTATTCATTGTCCAACTTTTGCATGCATATGAGACTACTGGAAATACCATGATTAGAGTCAGATGCAAACTGATTTCTTGCTCTTGAAAACTTTAAAGAGGTCTTGTGCAGGAAATTTGCCCAAGGTAATATGTCATTTGATTTCTTGACTGCTGCTTTGATGGGTGTTGGTAGTGGATCCAAGCAAAATGAAGTCTGACAGTTTGGATCTTTTCTCCATTTACCATTATGTTATTATTGATCCAGTTGTGAGGACTTTTGTTTTCTTTACCTTGAGATGTAATCTATACTGAAGGCTGTGGTCTTTAATCTTCATCAATAACTATTTTTAGTCCTTTTCACTTTCAGCAAGCAAGGTTGTATCATCTGCATTTTGCAGGTTGTTATTGAGTCTCCCTCCAATCCTGATGAAGACATTCTTCTTCTAATAATCCAGTTTCTCAGACTATTTGCTCAGCATAGAGATTGAATAAGTATGATGAAAGAATACGACTGTGACACACATTATTCCTGATTTTAAACCATTCAGTGTACCCTTGTTCTGTTTGAAACACTGCCTCTTGGTCTATGTATAGCTTCCTTATGAGCACAAATAAATGTTCTGGAATACCCATTTTTTTACAATGTTATTCATAGCTTGTCATGATCCACACAGTTGAAAGTCTTCATGTAGTCAATAAAGCACAAGCAAATATCTTTCCTGTATTCTCTGCTTTCAGCCAGGATGCATCTGGCATTAGCAATGATATTCCCAGTTCCATGTCCCCTTCTGAATTTGGCTGGCATTTCTGACAGTTCTCTGTTGATGTATTATTGTAACCAGTTTTGAATTAACATCAGAAAAAGTTTACTTGCATGTGTTATTAACAATATTGTTCAATGTTTTCTGTATTCTGCTAGGCCACCTTGCTTTGGAATGGGCACAGATAGGGCTTTCTCCCAAATTTCTTGGCATAGATAACTGAGTGCCTCTAGTGCTGCATCTGTTTGTTGAAAGATTTCAATTTGTATCCATCAATTCCTGGAACCTTGTTTTATGCCAATGCCCTCAGTGAAGCTTGGATTTCTTTGTTCAGCACCACTGGTTCTTGATCATATACTACTTCTTGCATTGGTTGAACAATGATGATTTCTTTTTGGTACAGTGACTCAGTGTATACCTTCCATACACTATTCATAAAGTTTTCATCACTCAGCACTTTATCTGACAATATTCCATTGCTATTCATAAGATTTTCAGTAGTCTACCTCTTCCTCTTCCTAGTCTGAATTAGCCTGGAAGCTCAGCTAAAACCTGTCCACCATGGGTATTTAAAATACCGGTGGCATAGCTTACAGCATCACAGCAACATGCAAGCCACCACAGTATGATAAACTGACAGATGAGTGAAATGTCTTTCTTGTTATTTATTGGTCTAATGGTTTCTTTACTACTGCTTTCGTAATGTTGATGATCGATTCAAGCAAAATGAAGTATTTGACAGTTTCAATATTTTCTCTATTTATCAAGATGTTATTTATTGGTCCATTGATGAGGATTTTTTGTTTTCTTTACATTGAGGTGCAATTCATACTGAAGGTTGTGGTCTTTGATCTTCATCAGTAA